ACCAAGAAATATCCTGAAACTATCGAAAGAAATATAAAACAATAAATAGGTACACATTAAAAAAAAAGAAAATGCAGAACTGGGAGTGGTGCCAAACGAATAAAAGTTACATAGAATTATCTTGAATTACAAGGAAGTTTTTTTTTAAACACATCTATTGGATAAACACTGCTTTTTCATGTTTTTTTCTTATTCACCCTGTCATAGTATTCACTTAGTTTCTTGTAAAACAATTTTGGATACTGCGACATCTTTACAAACACAGAAGACGATGTGTGTACTCGAGCAAATGAACACAAAATTGGTGCAATGAATGACTGACTGAATCAGGCAAATGCAGTAACCAAGTTTATGTGGTTGTTACGGTGTTTGAGTGAAATTGTTCAGTCATTACAGGGAATGACTGAAATGCTCAGTCAAACGTTGTAATAATCAAACTGTTACGGTGTTTGTCGGAAATACGGGGACTGACTAGGCATTTCAGGGAATAACGGATTTCAGCGTTTCACGACGACATATCTATGCGAAAGCCTGGCAAACATTGAAAAAAGAAAGTAAAGAAACTGAATGAAAATGATTACCTGTTTGAAAGTTAATACTTTAATAAGTTGGCCATGGAATCGGAACTGTGCTTACACTACCTTTACCATGGCTGACTATTAAATTTGATGTTTGTGGTGTATCATTCGAAACTAATTCTTAACGGAAAAGCTGGAGATTCTCGGTATGATCCGTTGTGTTGTGTATTGAAGATATTTGAGCATCAGAATATGGATCATAATAGAGTACGCAATTTCATTTGATGTAACAATGTAACAGAAATCTGTGACTATTGTTGATATCTCGTACACCCCGAATTGATCGGATTACTATTTTTAGTTTCACTTCTTGATATTGGTGTTATTCAGAGAGACTTTTGATAAGGGTCCGTCCTTTCTCCCAGTTGAAATAAATGATGTCTGTCAACCTTGAAGTGCTGCCAGATAAAATGTAGCGTCAGTATCTGCTAAGTTTTGCAAGCTATTGGGAAATACAAACTTACATACTGTAATACTATGTCAATAGATTGGAACCGGATATTCAACTTATTCAAATTTGTCCTTTGACTGGTCTCAAGATGCCCTTCATTTGCCTTCCTAGAAACAAACTGATCTCTGATTTGGACTCAACTACCGCGGAAACATATAACACGCGTCTAGACTTGAATGCTGGAATTATTTTGAATTAGTCCTTGAACTATCCTTGAAGTGACCTTTCAATGCCCCCAAGAGACAAAATAACCACAGATTTAAAATCTAGCGAGCCAACAAACCCAAATGTAGTAAAAACCCTATAAATGCCGTAGAAATTATATTTTTTTAGTTGAAAAATTGCCAATGTTTCGGCTACCACGGTAGCAGTTTTTTCGTAGCAGAAAAATTTGGTTGTGTGCTCGAAAATGCAAAGTGGCAACTAATTTCTTTTCTTACAGAGTATTACATATTATTATACGAGAAGTCGTAATATAATGTGTGTAGAATATCTTGTAAACTTTATTGCTCAGGCTCTCTCCAGAAATTGTATAACCAGTACCAGCAAAGGCCAAACGTCCTTTCTGTTTATTACTAACTCGTTTCAGGCTATGCATTCTCAGCTACTGAATATCATGGTGCACACAGGGACGAAGAAGGGATGAATATACCAAGAAACTGGTGAAAATAATCTCAGTTGACTGAAGTGCACAGATTTTTGTAGGTTTCATTAAGTGTACCGCTTTGTGCTCGATAAACTCCAATTAACAGGGTACGCTGCTCTTGATATCACAGAAGTGTTCGATCAGCTGCGGCATGCTGCTCTCTAATGCAAACTGCCATCCTATGGCCCCACAAAGAAGCTTTGAATATGGTTACCTGACTTCGTCTCTGACCACAAGATATCCTTCGTAAATGACGGGTTCTCCTCTTCATCCCACAATGTCAACGCGTGTATTCCACAGGGATCGGTCCTGGCTCCGATATGTATCCTATTACATATGAACGATCTTCTTTCCTGTACGATCAATCCGATTCAGAGTTTTGCTGATGACATCACTATACATGCAGGAATTCTGAGTGACAAGCCGATATCTGCCGGTGAGCTGGAGAAAAGAAGACTAGCAGCGACTTACTCCTGGAAGATATCACTGCTTGGGGAAGCGAAAATCTAGTACAGTGTAATGCTCCCGAAACGCAGTACTGTACCTTGACTAACAAGAAGCGCCTAGCGCTCATCCAGTTTCGATGGATGGCCGAGTTCTACCAAAGAGCCGTTCATTTCGGCTAGGCGGAGTCCAGATCACCGACACATCTTGTCAATACAACACCTGCCGGTAAAAAGCTAGGCTTTAGGTTTAAGAAGTACTCTTCTTCACTCACTTTCCTCACTCTGAACAATGCTCAGTTAAGATCTAGCCTCGTTCACTGCTCATATGTTTGCGGTGTTACCACTCCGATTATCATCCATGCTCGGCGCTGTTCAAAGGAGGACTACCCTACTGATCGATGAGTCTTCTATAATGGACAGTCTCGGAGCTCGGGCTGTCGGCGTTCTTGCTCTCGTCTACCGCTACACCGTCTGACTTGGGCATCTCATGCTAACCGTGTGGAGCTTACTCCTTTGTCCCTAACCATCGAAAGTCCCTTACTTATTTGCAAAATGTCTCTAGCAATATTAATAACAATATTAATAATTTGATACCTTTCCTTATTAAGGGCAAAGCCGGTCCTGTAGTCAGAAATGTAAAAGCATTCCCGAGTTGCATAGAAATTCTCCCATTTTATGCCTTCACTTGTTTGGAGACAGATCTGACTGCATATCAGCTTGATAAAAATATTCTACCGTCATACGGACATTACGAATTCTGACATGCCATATAGAGTAAGTCTAGAATAGGTACATCAGTTTTAGCCAGTGATATATTTTTATCATATATCCCTGTTTTAGTAAAATAGTATAGGAAAAAATTGATGCCATTTTTAAAGAAACTAAAAAGAACGCGCTTTAATAGCAAATTGAACAAAAAGTAGAAAACAATTTTCAAGTAAAGCAGAGTATGTATGACTGCAATAGAAAGTCCAACAATCAAGTATGACTGACTAATTTGGGGTAAGATCAAGATATTAACAAAAAATTTGATTATAGTAAAACATCGTGGGGTGCTTGATATAATAATAATAGTAAAAATAATAATACATGGGTTTTACTTCATACACAAGCACAAAGTGTCGCTGGGAGTAGCGTTTTTCAACTTGACCATTGAAACAAAAAAATAGACATATATACTATAATACTGAACTAGTAGAATTGTTAATAATAACTAATTAGTTAACCACAAAAAATATAAGCAATTAGAAGAATAGTCCATATATCCAGCACATGAACATAACAAGCAGATCACTGATTTAATAGCGATGTAACTAAATTTTTTGTAGTCAGCTTTAGAATGCAAGTATGCATCAATATTGCGAGGCTAGCGCGGTAGCGACGAAGGGCGCGAAATATCAAGCATAATGAAACGCGGCCTTTGCGTCCATAGTTTAGTGACTGAGGCGGAAGCCTAGGTCGGCGGGACTTAGCGAGACAGCGCGCGTAGTTTCAAACGTTCCTGTTCCGTGCTTTCTGGCCACACCACGGGCCTAATCAGCAGGCGACCTAACGCGCGGTGACGGCGATAACAAACCAGTTCGGTGTTGTCTCTCGGCGTATGCATGAGTATTATTGTATTGTAATGGCGGATACTGAAGTGTTTATAAGTGCAATTTAATCTAAACCACCTATATGGCAAAGTAAACATCCGCAGCACAGATATTTTACTTAGGATGTAGGCAAACGGGGTTTCAAGTGTACTCAAAAAATTTGGTACGGTGTAATCTCAGTTCTTCATACAACTGAAAAAATTCAACAGTTGTTTCTCTGCTTTTATTTATTTCATGCACACCATCTCGAATGTTCATCACCTACCATCTCAGGATCTGAATATCTAGTAAAAATACCAAATCGTCGTCTATAGTTTGGAACTTCCGATGATCCCTCGAACCAGCACAAGAGCTCGCGTGTCACTGTGGACACCACATGCCGCCGCTCACCGCAACCGCCTTAGGCCCCAGTCACCGCGCATTCAGAATGGACGCACACCAAGGGTATCACTAAAATATTTCTATTCCTTGTATTTAGTTGATTTATAGTATGTCGCTACATCGTACTAACTTCTTATACAAATATCGTGGTTATTTGGTGACTAACACCTTAGGGGTGAGTGTTTGGAGGAGTTTTTGCATGACTTTAATCTGCAGAATTCCAAGCTCCTCAAATTTATGAGAAATATGATTAAACTTTCATATTCCGCAAGAAAATCTGACGCACGATTTCTGAATACGCTGTGATTTGCTTTTTTCGCAATATGATATAGCGAGGCCATATAAAGCGTTTCATTTTTAGTGAAGTAGACATTATTTACCTATGCGGATAAAATTGCTTCAAAACGCACAATGAATTCACATGCTTTTCGTACTTTAGTTCTGTGCCAATCCAGAGTCCCAAGTTTTTACACTCACTCATTATAGAAAGCCGGTTATTATAGGTTTTAAGATTAATTTCCGTTTCGATCGACGTTCGTTTTGATTTTCGAACCAAAAACCATAAAGGAATATTTAGATGGATTAATTTTTAGGTTATGCGAGCACGAGATGCTTATAGCCTTTTTCACGAGTATCCATTACACTGGAATGTCAGCTGATTATCTAGTAATATTTCAAAATTCCCCATATCGGCAAAGGACACATAATTCTCACGGATCCGTCAATGCCAGGTAGATAGAGCCATATTTTTTTTTGATTTTTTGTACGCTAGACACTCATTTGTACTTGCTAAAAGCTCTATTATTTCTAAAAGTTAATTTGCGTAGAAAAAACAAAACGCTACAAACAAGTTTTATTAGATTTACACCCAATTCATTATTGCCATCGTTGCAGGCTAACACAACAATGTCACTTGCTGATCAGCTGTTCACCTCAGTAGCTGTCAAAGGGTGATGGACACTCGTGTGAAATAAGGGAAACTAGCCTTGTTGAGTCTTTGGTTAATTATGTTGAACGTTAGAATCATTTTTCTAGGTGCTATTTACAAAATTGGAGTTATTATGAGAGTATGTATACAGGGTTATCCAAATTAAGTGTCCACCATTAGTAACTTTGTTATTAGTGAAAATACAAAGTTGTTTGAATTAGAAAACTAGTAGCATTTTTAACGCTGGTAAAAATGAGAAATAAAAAAAATAATTGAGAGTCGTTATTTTGATTTTTTTCAGTAAAATAACATTTTTTTAAATGGAAACCCCTGTATATTATATTTTTTTCTGTTAAAGCATCAAATTTTAAACAAAAAAGCTTACAATAACTTTTCTCCTAGGTTACAAATTGTTGAAGTTATGGCCTCCAATCTGAAACAATTAAATTGTATCGACAAACTTTATTTTCAACATCAACTTATAATCTTACAAAATACAATAACAATTTTTTTTAAAGAAGATGCTCGAAAACACCACCTTGTTCTTCAATACATTTTTGGGCACGTTTTTCAACTGCTCGAACTGTCTTAAGTATGGTCCTACCATCTATCTGGGTTATCTTTTCCCTAACTGCAGTCTTTAACGCGTCAAGGTTATCGTACCTTCGCTTGTAAATTTGGTTCTTTAAGTAACCCCACAAGAAGTAATCAAGTGGGTTTAGATCTGGTGATCTGGGAGGCCACTGTATTGGGCCATTTGTTCCTATCCACTGATCATTAAAAGTAGTACTTAGAAAATGATAAGTACCTCTGGAGTTGTGGGCAGGTGCGCCATCTTGCTGAAAATGCAGATGATGTCTACTTATAAGATCCAATTCGTCTAAGAAATTAGTCAGAATTTCTGACATAAATTCCACATATCTTTCACCAGTTAGGGTTCCCTCATAAAAGAACGGGCCACCAATTTTTGAACCAATTATACCGCACCAAACGTTGAAACTGAAACGGACTTGTGGGCCTCTTGGATGTACTAACAAAAGATTTTCTCTTGACCAATAATGGTGGTTTTTTCTATTAAACATTCCAGAATTTGAAAAATTTGATTCATCTGTCCATAAAAGGTAACGAAAGTTATTTACATTTTGGCGACAGAAGCTAAGATACCAATGGCAAAAAACATGTCTTCTCTCTGGATCCCCTGCCAAAAGCGTTTGAACTGGTCGGTACTTATACGGAATAAATTTGTATTTTTTTAAAATCCTTTGAACAGTACCATAACTGAAATTAGAGTCCTTGAGAATATCTGCTATTGAATTCTCACGATAAGCTGCAAAATATCCAATAACTGCAATTTCCGTGGCCTCGCTTATTATGAATTCTTTTTTTGCCCTTGTTTTAGCAAAAACATTTTCGTTGCCCCTAAATTTTCGATAAAGTCTCAGAAAATATCGTTCATACGGTTGAATGCGAGCGGGATATAATTCACTGTAGTATTCTCTTGCTCTCACGGAGGATTTTCTGCACACTAAATAGCATTCTAACATATCACACTTTTCTTCATGGGAGAACATTTTTCTTTAAATTAATGACACAATAAAGCTTATAAACAAGTATTTACACTAATGTTTGACATTATTTGATTTTATCATTGTTTTCCAAAGCCTTCTAGTTGCGAGTATGTCCAGTTTAACAATTTGTCGCTTATCTTAATGCTGTCAAATCGCGAACGCCATGTTGTTTTCATAGCCGTCTTAATATTATAATACTGCAAATAATTAAAAATATTTATCGTTATTTTGACTTTATTTTTGACTTTAGCGGAAAAGTCATTATGAACTTTTTTGTTTAAAATTTGATGCTTTAACAGAAAAAAATATAATATACAGGGGTTTCCATTTAAAAAAATGTTATTTTACTGAAAAAAATCAAAATAACGACTCTCAATTGTTTTTTTTATTTCTCATTTTTACCAGCGTTAAAAATGCTACTAGTTTGCTAATTCAAACAACTTTGTATTTTCACTAATAACAAAGTTACTAATGGTGGACACTTAATTTGGATAACCCTGTATAGTTAATTGCATCCCACGCGTTTTCACTATTCTTGAATTTTTTGTTAATATCTTGATATCTTGACTGTTGGACCTTCTATTGCACAAACCCTCTTATACTTGAAAACCTTTCATACCTTTTAGTTCGATTTGCCATCAAAGCGTGTTTTTTTTTAGTTACTCTTCAAATTATTGTCAAAATTTCCGAATTTTTCGGCTATCTTTCAAATCCATTTTTTTCCAAATTTCAATTCATATTTTTTTAATTTTCAAACTCGAATTATTCCAAGATTCCAAGATTATTGTATTGTCATCGGCCCTTGACCCCTGTGCAAATTTTCAAGACTTTTTGACATTGTTGGAAATTAGGTTGAAAGGATCCGTTTCCTACATACATACATACATACATGTCAAGCAAATAAAAACGTGTTAAGCATCATGTACTTAGTTCTGATCCATTAGGCATCAAAGCAATTTCTCCTACTTCTGTTTACCAATATACAGGATATCATCAAAGTAGAGACTTTTATTTACAAAGCAGGTCAGGCAATAAGAAGCAAGTATTTTTAGTAAAATATATACCAAAGCCTTAAAATAACCAAGATATCAAGTTCCGAAAAACTGGCCATTCCGACCTTGCCTATTTCTCCTCCTACGTCAAAAGGTATAATGTTCAGGTCTTATTGATATTCCGCGAGTAAATTCGAGTATTCAGAACGTCGCCGTCGTCCCTCATACAAATATTTTCATCAGAGCTGCGTAGGTTTGTTGCAAATTTACTAAGAATTAAACAAACTCGTGTTTTTCAATCGAACATCAATAACCTGAAGCAGTCATTACAAACAAAACATGTGATGGCATGTACTTGACCTGCGGTACCAAAGAGATACTTAGTATTCTTCTTCAATTTATAGTTGTTTCTGAACATTAAAGTTTCAACTTTCAGGACACTGTCTATATTGTTCATTTATACTGACCATTCATCATTAAAAATTAGCTTTTCTTATCAGTGAAGCCTTATTAAGTTACCCTCCCACAGCGACATGACCGCCCATATAGCAAAATCCAGGGGAGCATGTTTGGTTTACAGTTTACAGGTTGTGCAGGATCAAAAATGCTGAATAGCCAACCGTTGGTGACAAAGACGGGAGGGGGGTCATAATATCTTCTATGATGGGATGTTCCACATCTTAGCTTATTAAGAATTTAAGAATATTTCACTTTAATGCAGAATCCATCTCGCCCCCCATTGGGCGCCCATGCCTACAGCATATAACTTATTTATACAATTTCTGCGGTATTATTATTGATTTAATTATGCTTAGAGTAGAGGCAGACTAACATCATGCTTTAATAGCGTACCCGTTTTAGCGAATATAGCTGCATCTACGATCTAGATGCGATTTGATGTTATTCCTGCGTACATAATTTTAGTTCAAGGTATATGTATATGTATATGTCTTGAAGATTTATGATGCTACCCTTCTATTATATTGTTCATTAAAGCAATTGCTGTCATGTTATTATCGATTTAGTTCTGTTTACAGACAGACAGACTACCATCGTTCCATAATGACGAAACCGCGATGGAACTCTCTACCTATTTGTTTGAGGATGTTTAATTGGGTTAATGAATTCACTCCCTAAGCGTATGTATCATCACCATTTGCACTTCAACCTTATACTTCTCTCTCTCTATCTATCTATCTTTAGCACGATCATCCATTACTTAATTTGCCCTGCCTTCTTGAGCGTTTGTTAAAATAACATAGACCACCAGTCAATTATAACTTTAACTTCAATGGCCGTATGCACCGGCTTTCTTAAACATACCATTTAGCAAAGTGGAACTCATCTTTAAGGAATACCTTAGATTGAATATATGTTGCACCGACGTACCTTAAACGGTGCTTAGTTCAGCGTGATATTGACTTGGCAACCATGTACATTTTATGGAATTTCTATTTTTGAATTGATAAGTACTGCACATCAAAGCAAAACAACTGATGCTCTCAGTTAAAGCTTGATGAAAGACGAATAGTTGATTAATTGGTGCTACTGCATTTTTCCTGAAATGAAACAAAGTGAGGCTGATTAACATATATTTATAACAGCAATACTGTGAGACTTGCCAGTCGTAGGGATATTCAAGATTTGCTTTTATCAGATCTAATATCACTACAGCAGTTTGTTCATTGGTCATAATCTTTTAGAAGAATGTTCTGTGATCAAAATTATAAAACTAGTCCATTCTTTGATACATTCTTCTCGGAATTCCATATACATATACGGAGGTTAATTTCATCTAATTCTTCTAAAAGTTCCATAATATTTCCTCACAAACTGTTTCCATAACCTTCCGAACTTGACTGACAATCAAAACAACTATTTCACTTTGACATTCAAGCTTCACTTAAAATTACAAAGCATCTTGCAGTGCAACAGAAATTCAAGGTCCACCTTAGATTAAGCTTCAGCTAAGCAAGGTGGTGCAAACGACCATAAGCTTATCCTTAATTTCGTCATCTCTTACTAAGGGATTCAATACTTGACTCGAATTTCAAGCTACATGACTTGAAATCAACTAAACCTCAAGTCAAGTAGTAGATATTAGCAATCTAAATTATGTCAAGTATTTTTGTGTGATACTTGTTTGACAGGGTCGAATAATTTATTGTTATAGGCATGTTTGGAAAATGTGTATCCAGGGGAGCGACATGTAGATGAAGAATAAAGTTCTTTAACGGTGATACAAATACCAATAGCTAAATAAATTCAATAGTTCTTTATTAAAAATAACAAATCTTTAGATCCATCGGTCTTGAAACAAGAGAATCGTATAGATTGAGAGTTCACAAACCCTCAGGGTAGTGGTTGTGTTTGGATGCTAGAACTTTTTTTGACAGCGGATCGTAGCTATTTCTTTCATCGTTTATAATATTTTTTATTGGAAATAATTGACAGAAAGTAGA